GACATAAGCTTGTTAGGGATTAATAATGACGTCAAAAATTTAGCGAGACCGTTTTGACACGTTGAATTAAATTATCCGTCGTCTAATCTTGAAGCGCCCACATATTGGGATTATTTTGGTTTGCAATGATTATTCAACAGAAGTGTTCTACACACTTTTATTATGTAAAATAAAAAATGAAGAAACTTGAAATTATTGAAGTTGAGGAATCACTTTTTTTTTTTTAATTAAATGTGTGCAGAAGTGTTCTCCATGGTTTTCTCTTCCACAGAATTTTTACTGTTTAATAATTTGTTGGGTTTTGATCCACAACTTTTCAATCATACATTTCATCAACTTTTATCAAAATCTACTAAAATATGATTTTAATCAACACCAAACAGGAGCTAAGTATTTGGAATAAACCTCTCTTTTTCTCTCTTTCAAACTCTCTCTTTTTGTTTTTTTTCTTAAAAAAAATGGAATGCTACAAGTAAATAGTTCTATGCCTTATATATAGTAGCAAAAAGCAATTTGAACACCGTATAGTGTGAACATCAAATTGTAGCTACATAGTGTGAATATCAAATCGCAGTTGCACAATATGAACATCAAATGGACAGATCATTAAAAAAAAAAAATGGCTTTACCACCACAGATTTACTCTCAATGTGGAGCAATGTTCACTCACCATTATAGATTGTATTGAGAAGAAGAAATTTTACGATGAAAGATCTCACATATTCCTCTTCTATAAAGAAATGACTCCGTTTTTCATTTATTGTTTTCGAAAAAATCCTAGTATACAATCAAAAGAATAAACTCGAAAAAGATCCCCTAAGAAATTTCGAACAAAATGAAGTGAGGTAAGCCTGAACTTTACTGGACGAATTTCAAACTCTTACGTTCAAGTATTTCGAACATTGGATGCTCAAAGTAAACTGAACAATTTAAAGAAATTTAGAACCAATCACATGAGTCGGGTCACCATTCTCGTGGTTAACCTAGAGTGTAGCTATGGTTCGTGTGCTAAATTACATCTTTGTAAACAGGGGCGGACCCAATGGGGGTCCTGGGGGGCAGGTGCCCCCCCTACTTTTGAGATTCCCTTTTTTTTTTAAATTACGTTTGTT